TGTCAGGCATGGCTTCGAGAAGGCCGTACGCAAAGAGCAAGGGGCACTGGACGCCGCCGTAGAACAACAGACCGTGAAGATCGCCGCCTAAGATTATTGGCCTTAAGGGACCGTTTCTCCACTACCAGGTCCATTGCAAATGAATGGTTTGCAGAACACGGAAGACCTATTGGCATGCGAAGTGTTTACCGACGAATGAGAAGTTTTGGCTTGTTTTCATACCAGCCACACTGGGTCCTCCCTTTAACTCGAGAACACCGACGTAATCGCCTTGAGTGGTGCAGACAACGGTCACTCTGGGATCAGGAATGGAACAGTATTGTCTTAAGTGACGAGTCTCGATTTTGTTTAGGCATGCACGATGGTCATGCCAGGGTTAGAAGGCGACGTGGTGAAAGGAGGAATCCACAGATTTTTGTTGAAAGACATGTTCATCACACTGTTGGAGTTATGGTTTGGGGTACTTAGCTTATGGTTCCAGGTCACCTTTAATCTTCATCAGAGGTAACATGAACGCGCAGCGTTATATCCACGAAGTTCTAGAACCCCATCTTTTACCCTATCTTGACACCCTGGCAGATCCACCTTTCCAACAAGATAATGCCCGACCACATATTGCAAGAGTCACAATAGACTTCTTTCAACATAATGATGTCACATTGTTACCATGGCCATCAAGATCTCCCGACTTATCCCCAATTGAGCACGTGTGGGATATGATGAATGAATTTGCAACGTCCTCCTCAGACTCCTTATTATGCTTCATCAAGTACTTATACAAAGTTTTATTAAAATAAAACCATTTAAACTGGGTGTTCGGATTTATATGTCACTTAGTATATATAATTTGCCATCTCGAACGAACGAAATGCACTGAAGTGCTTATATACAAGGACTTCGGAGACAAAATTGACATAGATGATAATGATAGCTGGAGTATGGACCAAAGACTTCGTAATTGAAATTATATTAAATTTCTATTTTTCCGTCTGTCATTTTTTTAGACACGATTCTTTTATAGTTAAATAATTAAAAACAAACGAAAATTAATTTTCTGGCTTATGCGTAAATCAATAGAACATAGAAAATAGCGTTAATACCTACCAGATCAACAAAACTCCGCTTGTTCACTACTCAGCCAAATTTCGTTGCGCTCCGCATTGGTACAGAATTTAGACACCAGACTAGTCCATAAAAGACTAGACTATACCTGTTCCAACAGGAAGAAGCGCACACCGTTGCTGTTGGTAGGAGAGTAATCGCTAGTCGCATGCGCGCTAAGAGGGTTGGCAGTGTTGCCGCTATCGTTTCTTAAAGTTACAGATTTTTTATAAGACGTTTACTTTATACCACCTTTTCAAAGACGGGAAGCGTCAGTGCGTCTAAGAAACAAAATATTCATATACTACAATATCGTTCAACCCTGTTCAAACGTAGTTTTACATATAAAGGTGCTACAAGATTGAATTCCTAAGACAAAAAAAATATTTGTTTCCCGTGTTTCGTAAATATTTAATCTTCCATTTCATCATGGATGTAACTATTTTTAAAAACATATTATTGCAGCTCTCTCACTTTTTTAGGTTGGTTCGTGATTTCTTTATTTTAGAAATTTCTCTACTGCCAATGTACCACTCATTGTGGACTGATTGCTTAAGTGTGAGAGTAGGAAATGCTAAACTTCGATAGGAAGTCCCCTGTAACTTTGTAATTCTATTGATAAGTTCGTCTATTATTATTATTATAATGATTTTTAAATACTATTTATTAATAATAATAATAATAATAATATTTATTCACTCAATGTACAAAGATAACAAACAATATGAGTAAATAAATATAAAATCAAAACAGGCCCAATAGAAGGCATCGCCTGTACATGGACCAATAATTTAAGTTGAAACTGTAGAATGCAAATGACAAAAAAGGACAAAAATTAGCTACAGTAGATTATGTATTTAGTTGATGTTCGTATTTATGAGTTTATGAATTTCAGTCCTAGATATAGAATGTAGCCACTTTTTTAAATTTCTTTTGAAACAATTTCCGAAACGTAAATCTTTTAAGTCTTTAGGTATAATTTCATAAAATTTAGGCGCTAAATAGAGATATGATCGCTGCATTATAGATTTATGCGGTTGAGGAACTACTGTGCCACGAATTTTGTACCTGGTATAATGATTATGTTTAATTTTTTGGTCGGTGTTTACAAATTTATGGTAGTGAGTGATACTGTGTAAGAAATAAAGCTGTCTTATATCATACATTCGAACATCTGCGTTTAATTTTTCAGTGGGATAAAGTTTCGGTTTTTTAAATATCATTTTTAGAATACTTTTTTGAAAAACATCTAAATTATAGATATGTGAGGAACATGCAGCTCCCCATGCTAATATACCATATGTGAGATGAGGCTCAATCAGTGCATGGTATAATGTTCGAAGATATTTTTCTGTCAATATATTCCCAAGGTATTTAATTTTGTAGGATACAACTTTCTTTAAAATATAATTGACATGGATGTCCCATGGTAAGTGAGGATCCAAGACCACTCCAAGGTATTTTACGTTGGGCACTCTATTAATTTGCATTTTTTGATCATTAATATTGAAGGAGAAATTTGTGTAATTTGGCAGATGTCTAGCATAAGATCCAAATGGTAAAAAATGTGTTTTAGAGTAGTTAATGCTTAATTTTCTACTGTTAAACCACCGAATAATTTTGATAAAATCATTTTCAATTACATTTTTCAGATCAGACCAGTCAGTGCCTTCATATAATATTGCAGTATCATCTGCAAAACTAGTTATTTTGCCAACACAATTAATTTGGAAAATATCATTTAAATATATATTGAAAAACAGCGGACCTAAGACAGTTCCCTGTGGGACACCATACTTAATATACATTTCTTTACTAAATGATCCTGATATCTGCACAGATTGTGGGCGATTTGACAAATAACTTTCGATCAGTGAGTACGCGTTTCCTCTGAAACCCATTCTCTCCAATGCCTCTAATAATAATTTGTGATTAACTGTGTCGAAAGCTTTCTTTAAATCAACAAAAATGCAGATTGAAGGGATTCTGTTATCAATATTCTGATGTATTTGATTTACAATTTTAGTTATTGCGTCCGATGTAGCCTTCCCTTCTGTAAATCTATATTGATTTTCACTTAAAATTTTGAATTTTGTGAGGTATCGAATCATTCTAGTAGATAAAACTTTTTCAAAAACGTCTGTACGTTATTTTTATCTTTTTATGAACCTTTAGACTTTAAGAACGTTTCCTAGATGATCCTGTCTTCACACCATTAATACATTTCCTGCCTGTGCTCAACTCCAACACGATGTAAGCTAGAAATGCAGCCTCAAACTTTATCTCCGAGTTTCCATTATAAAATTAAGCATTCGATGCAGATGCCATTGGACATCACGAAAAAAACCTCAAAATGCTTTCTTCACCGTTTATAATAATAGGTGCATCTCGGAGGCGAAAGAACTTCAGCGTAGCAATTCCTCGGTGTATCTCAATCTCACAGCGCGGTCTGAAAAATTCTTTTCTTCATGGCGGCCCGGAATTTCCATATTCTTGTCGTGTATGTGTTGGCCAAACGATTCAGGCGACACGTGACGTGATACGACGGCGAACGGCAATGGCCGGATTGACAAATGATCCCGCCGCCGATCTATCGACATGTCACCGCGTGTAAGAGTTTCGGTAAAAGCAAGCAGTGGCGCAACAGATTTTAAACTCTAAATGTCTTCTTCCTCTGCTTAGCGGTGTCCTAGTATTTCAAACCGTACTGCATCTTCAGCATCAGTTTTAGTTTAAGAACTATTAATACAGATGATGTTTTTGATGCTGTTAATAAAATGAAATCTAATGCTCGAGATGTGGATGGCTTTTTTCCCACAAATATGGAAAGTGTTACTAGTTATGCCACTTCCTAGAACCAACAATCCAGAACGAGTTAGTGAGTTAAGACCTATCAGCCTTTTACCTGTCCTTTCGAAAGTATTATAGAAAATAATCTACAAACAAATTTCAGAGTTAACTTTTAGTACCAGTATACTGCCTGAGAAGCAGTTTGCCTTTTGAAAAGGACGTAGTACTGCTTCTGCACTATTTGTTATGATTGTTACCGTAAGCCTTGATCTACTTCTAGCCAAATGTACTCATCTTGGATTTGATAGCCCGCCACTGCGTTTCCTAGCGCCATATTTCAAAGACAGACAGCAACAGGATTTATATGTCACTTAGTATATTTCGATAATTTCAACTCTTTCTGCTTTGGAATATACCATGGTTAATTTATCTAATAAAGCGTTACAAGTTATTTTAGCAACAAAGTTTGGTCAAATTAATCGCAAACTATGTACTAAATTAGTGTTTAAATTAAGTACGAGATATTTCCTTATCTTTCTTCAAGAAATAACTTTTTTGCCACAAAATAACGCTCCAATAGCTATTTTCAACAACAAAATAATAAACAAACCATGGGCGTAGTGAAGAAAAGCATTTACTTATTAAGTAAATTCTTTTAGTCAAATTTCTTCTGAAAGTAGTACAAACTAATCTGATGTACCTGTTAAAGTCTACTTTAAGCTTTAAATCAATAAATCTTCAAAACTAGTGAACTGAAGCTCATGTATTTTACATCATTATAAAGGGAATTGAAAGACCTTTAAAATAAGGTATCACTCGACCCCTCTTTCCATTTAAGATTTTAGGGTTGGTGTCACCCCCGCCCAGGGGGCTGCACGTGTTAACGTGATTTTTTGCCAAACTTGTGTCCCCCTGTATACATCTGATTCGAAAGTATTAATAACTGTTCCGCTATTAATAACACGAAACACAATCCTGAGTAACTCCTGATGAAACAAGCTGTGGATCAGAAGTTCCTCTATATGTTTATACTGAAAGCTACGCGAAATTATTGCTGCTATAGCTGCTGTGCAAATTCCCGGTGCTCTACCATCTGATTTTGATTCCAGGTAGCTTGGATCCACATCGATCGTCAAATGATCTTGACCATCCACCGTCACGTGATCTCGAAAGTGCCCAGATATAGCGTGACAAACGATAACGACAAGACGTGGATGCTACACGTTAACGGGGTCCAGCAAGAAGATAAGGGATACTACATGTGCCAAGTCAATACCAACCCGATGATCAGTCAAGTTGGATATTTGAAAGTTGTCGGTGAGTTGAATTACTTATAATCTGGAACGTATGAATTTGATGTAAATTAAGTTCATTCTTTATATACTAAGTGACA